GCTGAGTTATAGTTTACATACAATAAAATGCACCTATCTAAAGTTTTAGGTTTTATGAGTTTTGATACTTTTATGCACTTGTAACTACCACCCCCAAAAAGATCCAGAATATTTCTATCACCCCAGAAATTTTCTTTCTGCCCCTTTCCAGTTGATCTAGTCCCTCCCCAACCGCTATTCTGACTTCAATCACATTAATTTCCTGTTCTTGAATTTCGTGTAAGTAGAATCATACAGCATGTCTTTTTTGATCTGGCTTATTTTGCTCAATGTAACATTGCTGAGATCCATCCACATTGTTGTATGTAACAGTTATTCATTCATTTCTATTGTTGAGTCATATTCCATTGTATGAATATGCAAACATTTGTTTATCCATTCTTTCGTTGATGGTTGTTTCTAGTCTTTAGCTACTATGAATAAAGTTGTAACAAATATTCTTGGTCTTTTCCTGAAAATGTTTTCATTTCTTTTGGATATATACCTACAAGTAGAATTACTGGGTCAAATGGTAACTCTTATGTTCAATTTTTTAGGAACTGCTAGACTGTTTTCCAAAGCAGCTGCCCCATTTTACGGTACCACCAGTGGTGTATGAGGGTTCTGATTTCCCCACATCTTCACCAATACTTATTATTGTATCTTTGTGTGTGTGTAAGACAGTCTTGCTCTGTCACCCGGGCTAGAGTGCAGTAGCATCATCATAGCTCACTGCGATCTCAAACTCCTGGGCTCAAGGGATCCTAGTGGATGTAAGGTGGTGTCTCATTGTGGTTTGGTCTTCTCCTTCCTTCTGCTTCTCCTTCTCCTTCTCCTTCTCCTTCTCCTCCTCCCCCTCCAGACAGGGTCTTGCTCTGTCACCCAGGCTAGAGTGCAGTGGCATCATCATAGCTCACTGCAATCTCAAACTCCTGGGCTCAAGGGATCCTAGTGGATGTAAGGTGGTATCTCATTGTGGTTTGGTCTCCTTCTCCTTCTCCTCTTCCTTCTCCTTCTTCTCTTTCTCTTCCTCTTCCCCCTCCTCCACCCCCTCCCCTTCAGACAGGGTCTTGCTCTGTTGCCCAGCTAGGAGTGCAGTGGCACGTCACAGCTTACTGCAGCCTCAGACTCCAGAGCTCAAGCGATCCTCCTGCCTCAGCCTCTGGAATAGCTAGGACCACAGGCACACGATACTATGCCCAGCTGATTTTGTCTTTTTATTATTGAGTTGTACAAAGTCTTCATGTATTCTAGGTGCAAGTTTCTTATCAGATATATGATTTGCAAGTACTTTCTCGAATTCCATGGGTTGTCTTGGGATGCTCGCAGTCTGGTTGGGAAGAGAAGACAAACACAGGGATGAGACAGTGTGAAGCAGTGTGGGGAGAAGCACTGTATAGGAAAGTCTCACTGAGCCTCTGGGTTGCCCCCCTCGGTAGTGAGGGAGCTAGACAAGCAGAGCTGACATTTCCATGGCTCTGCAGGCAAGAATGTGTGTCATTGTATACTCGGTGCTGTGCAATCAGACACACATGCTGAGTGTCAGAGACTTGGCATCTTATAAGATCAGGTGCATGGAGGGGGTTGGGTGAGCAGGAGACTCTTTCTTAAGAAAGGAGACTCTATATTGCAAACATCCACAGGGATAACAGCATGGGTAATAATAGGATTATCTTGGAGGCAGCATGATGTGCTCAGGAGCCAGAGAGACTTGGGTTTAGGTCCTGGTTGTAGTAGATGCTACTGCATAGTGCTCTCCCCACACCCCCTTAACCATTCCTGATGGCTTACTGCAGGCTCCTGGGATTCGCTGCCTGATGGCTTTCTCTGCTCAGAAGGCACACTGGGCAAGGCCAGAGATGCCAGGAGCAGCTCTCAACTAATGAAGAAAACCTCAGTCTCCTCACCCCTTCAGTGGGATGATTGTGTTGTCTTCTGCACTGTCCCAGAGATCCCCAGTAGGATTAAGCCCCGGTTGCCCACAGTGGTAACCTCATTACTGCACCCTGTATTGGTTTTCTTCATTTCTTTGTTTCACTTCCCCCACTCCTCTAACTAGTGCTCCCTGGAATCCTCTCTTAAACAGACCATTTGTACTAACATCCTTATCTCAGTGTCTGCTTTTGGGGAAAGCCAGCCTAAAGATATTGGTTCTTCTATTTCTTACATACATTCTATTTCCTTGGGCAGAGCACTTTTCCTCTCTGAACCTCAATTGTCTCATCTATAAAATGGGGATAATAGCACTTACTTCATAGGATAATCATGAGGCTTAGATCTCACTCAGACATATTAAGGATTCAGTAAATGCTGGTGTTCCTCTCAGTTGTTTACTGGCCTGTACCGTAGATACTCTCCCAGAGACTCTTTTTTTTGAGACAGAGCCTTGCTCTGTTGCCCGGGCTGGAGTGCCGTGGCGTCAGCTTAGCTCACAGCAACCTCAAACTCCTGGGCTCAGGTGATCCTCCTGCCTCAGCCTCCTGAGCAGCTGGGAGTACAGGCACTCACCACCACGTCCAGCTAATTTTTTCTATTTTTAGTAGAGATGGGGGTGGAGGGGTGGTCTTGCTCTTGCTCAGGTTGGTCTCAAACTCCTGATCTCAAGTGATCCTCCTGCCTCAGCCTCCTAGAGTGCTAGGATTAGTCTTTTGTCATTCAGACAAAGCTGGGCAGGAAAAGATAAGCATCCTGGAACTGGCCCCATGGGTGACTGATTGAATTACCGCTCCCAGTTACTTGCTTCCTCCTTGCAATGAGACTGAACATCCCTACTGTTTGTCATGTGACTTCCCTGGCATCCTGCAGGGGGAGCATATCTATCCCCCATGAATTAATTTTAAGCCTAACCATATGACATGCTTTGACTATCAGTGTGTGAGCAGATGTGACATTCTCCACATCTGAAAAAAAGCTTGAAATTTGTTATTGCATGGTTTGGTTTTCTCAGGCTCTCTTATTCCTGCCCTCCACTATGAGAAAGTCACGTCCCCAGCGCCTGGCGCACAGTATGAGCTAGCACTCATTAAACACTTAATGTGTACCAGGCACTGTCTCCTGTGTTACATGTGTCTGCATGTGTTAATTTATTTCATCCTCACAGGACCCTAAGACACAGGCTCTATTATCATTATCCTTATTTTGTATATGTGGAAAACGAAGGATCAGTGAGGATGAGTTTGCACTGCAGGGAAGGGGCAGGCAGTCTGTCTTCTAGGTCTGTATTCTAAACCACTGCCCTGTGCTGCTTAGTAGGTAGGTGATCAGCAAATGCCTTTAAATAAAAGTTTGTTTAAATGATTTTCAGTGCTAACAGCATTGCTCCCTTCCATTTATCTAAATATGGAAGGTGTAATCTACTGAGACAAAGGCAGGCTTCTGACTTTGGACCTGAATATTCTTCCTACCTCAGTTGTTTGCAAAATAGAAGGCTCTTCTGATTCTCCTGATTGGGAAAAATCTGTCTGTGGTCATCACATGAAACCTCAACATTTCCCCTGTAGGACCCACATGAGCCACAAGACAGCTCCTGTAAATTCCTTGTGGATCCCAGACATCTTCCCCATAGACCTCTGTGTGGACCTCAGGTCCCTCTCCTAAAGGCCCACGTGAACCCCCACAACCTTCCTGAGGCCCACATGGACTTCCAACATTTTCCTGTAGGAGCCGTGCTTGGGAACCTCCGCAGGTTCTCATTTGGCTCCTCCTTATAGCTCTGTAAATCAGCCTAGGCTTGCATTATAGCAGACCAGACAGTGGTGACCGTGAGGATGAACCAGGGACAGGACCAACAGAGAACCAGGTTGGTTGTCCTGCCCTGTAGCCCAGTACTCTTCATTCCCGGTTGGCCTGGGGGCTGGTTATGCTTCCTGCTCAGCCCTTCCCAGCCCCTGAGGCTCCCTCCCTTCTTCTTCCCTCACCCACACTAGTTCTTATCTGCCTTTCTTCAGCCCACCCCCTTTTCATCCCAGCTGTGGGAGTGAGGCCCCACTCCTGGCAGGCCGGAGCCAGACAATGGGCCCTTATTCTATGCAAAGAATCCCTGCAGTGTCTCCCACCCACTGAGGCCCCCTTCCAGGCTGGGATGGTGTGAGTCGGGGGTGGAGGGTGGGGGGGCCCTGTGGGGATAAGGAGCAATTGGCTGGCAGGACAGAGAGTGGCCTTGGCTGTAGAGATCCCACAGGAGGTTTACTATGTAAACACCACTCACAATAAAAGCCTGTCTTCACTCCCAGCCTCGGCTCTCCAGTGGGTCTCTCTCAACTCTTCAAAGTTCTGGGTTTTTAAACATTTACTCTGATCTCTACTTTTTTTGGTGTTCATCTCTGCATATCACTTTCTCTTTCATTTTTTTTTTCTGAGTCTCTTTCTTTTTCTAAGCCTCTCTTTCTATTCCTTTGTGTAGCTTGTCTATTTTTATTTCTGTCTCCTTCTCACTTAATCATGCTGTCTCACCTCTCTTATCTTTCCATGTCTTTTTCTCTCTCCAGGTCTTGATCTCTTCATGTTTCAGTATCTCTCTCCATGTTTCTCTGTCTCTGTGGTTGTGGCTCTTCTCTCTTGTCTATGTCTTCCTCTCCGTGGATCTGTGTGTCCATATCTCTCTGTGTCTCATTTATGATCTTCCGTCCTCTGTCCTCTCTCACCCTGAGCCTACGGATCTGAAGGACCTTAATCCGTCACCACACCTCCCACTCTCAAAGCTCTGCCTCACTCTTCCTTTCCGCTCCGTCCCAGAGGCATGGGGGGTTATTCTCCCCAGTCTACAGATTTGGAAGCCGAGGCTTTGGCCGCTGGTGCGAGGCTGCGGTCTCGGCCTCATCCTCCCACGTACTGGCCTTGCTCTCGGCCCTGAGGGGCCGGTCAACCACCTAATCCGCGGGGCCCGGGAACTAGCACCTCGGACAGCGCCGGGAAGGTGCGGGGGCCCGGGATCCTCCTTCTCGCGAGCTCTGGAGGAGCGGCCCTGGGCATGGGGCGGGAGTCTCGCGAGAGCGGTGCTGCAGGCGGCCGTGGCGCGGGCGCGCGTGGAGTCGGTCCCGGGCGCGCGCGCTCCCCCCGCCCAGCCCCGAGCGGCTCGCGGCCGGCTCCGCGCCGCATCGCCCGGTGCCCGCAGCGCAGCGCCGCGGCCTTTCGGCAGCCGAACGGCGGCGGCGGGTGAGTCGGGCCTGCAGGCGGGGGGCGCTCTGCGGGCAAGCTGGGCACGGGAGAGGGGCCCCCGGCTCTGACTTTGCACCCTCTGCGCTTCACCTTTGGATGCAGGGGCAGGCCCAGCTGCTGCAGAGGAGGGGAGTCGGGGTCACCTTCCCTGTTTGGGGCGGGGGAAAGAGCGGTCGGGGCGCACCAAGCCCCGCAACTCCTCCTGTTCCCATCTTCGGCTCCCGCTGAGGGAACCGGGGCTTTGGGTGACGTCAGACCCCTGGATTCTGGAGCCTGAGCCGTGGGCCCTCCATCCCTCCCCAGCCCCGATCCCACCTGGCGTTCCTCCTGCTGGGGATGGCGCACGCGGCCCGGCTTGGGGGCGACTGGAAGCGGGCGATTGTGGCCTCCTTTGGGTCTTTCCTTGCAACAGGCGCCTGCAGGTGGACGCGGTCGTACCTCCCTCTCCTCCCTGGGGCGGCCGGCCTTTGGCCTGTGGGTCTGAGCCGCCCCAGGGCTGCAGAGGGATGGGTGCACTGGCTTGGGCCTGGACTCCACCGGGGCTTTAGGTGGTGAGTTGGGGGCGCCGGATGTAGCTCATTCCAACGCTGGCAGGAGTCGGTCACCAGGACGGAGGCGAAGTGTTTGGGAATCGATCCCTGTCCCCGCCTCCGGGAGCTCCCGGTCTGAGGGGTTGGGGATCCAAGTAGAGACTGGGCCTGAGAATTCGCCACCACAGGCGAATTACCGGTTTAAACTGGTAATGGCCTAGCTTCCTGATGGGGAGATCTGCGAGGGCCTGGCAGAATTTCCCACGGACACAGGGAGAAAGGGAGGCGAGAGCCAGCAATAGGAGACTTTCTGGAGGTGGTGAGATTTGGAAGGGAGGAGAGGCAGGAGAGGGCATTCCAGGGGAACGGTACGGGTAAAGGCATAGGCACAGCGATGGAATCAAGCACAGCTGCTGGCGGGGGGGGGCGGTAGGCCCAGCCTGTGAGCCCAGCCATGTGACTGTGCCATGGGGTGGGGGAGTCTGGAGAATTTTGCAACCCGTGCCCTACCTGTTCTGCCTCTGTGGAGCAGGGCTGTGAAAGAGGGAGATGGTTCTTGCAGGGGCAGGACTGGCAGAGAGATTTTTTGGGGGCTGCACACATCTTGCTCATTTAGGTTTGATCTGCGCTTGGTGAGCCTTAGGGTAGTCTCCAGGGCTGATGGTGGACTGTCTCCAGCGAATGGGCCACCACAGTGGGGTCCTGGGAGGGGAGCTCTAGAGAGGGACCTTGGGCTCTGTGGCTGTTTCTTTAACCCTTTCCCTGGCTGGCCACCTTTGAGCAAGTTGATTCCCTTCTCTGGGCATCTCTTTGCAGCACCCTTCTCTAGGGATGAAAATAATAGGACTAAGTGGTGACCTCCTGTGAGGATGCTCCTTGTTCTAGTTTAGAACGTTCCTCCCAGTTCTTCTCCCTCTTCCTTTTCCCTTCCTCCCTGCTCCCTCTATCTCTCTCTCCCTGTCCTCTCCCTCCCCACAGCATTTCCTCTTAGGCTGCACTTCCTTCCCTGCTGCCAGCCTCTGAAGGTTTCCTGGAGGAAGTGTGATACAGCAGGATTGACAGAAGCTGTGGGCTTAGCTGACTGGGGGAGCCTCACTCCCACCTCTGGGGAGGGTGTCCAAGTCTTAAGCAAGTATGTGGATTAACTGTGCTCTGTGCCTGGTCCCTCCTGGAAACTGCATCCGTGAGGGAATGAGAAAGAGACTGGATGAGAACGAGGGAGCACTTAGTGCCCAGTGACTGGTTCAGAATTTCTGCAGTGGGACGCAGAGCAGTGATGTCTGGAAAGGCATCCCAGAAGAGTGGGATGTGAGAAAATGGTAGGACTTAGAGGAGCTGAGAGGGCTGCTGGTTTAGGGGCGCTGGAAGCAGAGCAGGTGGCTAGCCATGGTCTCCAGCATGAAGCTGGGTGTGTAGGAAGCAGGTCAGCCTGTGGCAGAGAAGCAAAAGGTGGTAGGGAGGGAGGCTTGTAGCTGACTGGCACAAAGCCTTGAATGCCAGGCACAGGATCTGTAGGAGGCTACTGAAGAGTCATCAGCAGGACAGTGATAGCATGGCCAGGAGACTGCTGTTCCCTGAGGATGAGTCATAGTTCCGGGATTTCAGAGCTGGAGATGGGGCTGGCAGTAGGATAAGGGAAGCAGAGGTAGAGCAGGAGGGGAAACTTCCATCTTAGCAGGTAGGTTCTGGGCAGGCAGAAAAAAAAAAAAAAAGCATTTCTGTGCCAGGGATGAGAGGCTCATCCTAGTGAACAGGGATCCCTGGAACTAGCCCCAGGCCTCTGATCTGATCTGAGATCAGGCTTCGCTCCCGTCTGTCTGCCACAGACTTCACTGTGGGAGCTTCTTTCCTCGCTCCACAGTAGGAATGGAACACATTATAGTTAGGGTTTCCCAAACAAAATTTAGATAGTATTTGCTTTCTTATTGGTAACGAAGGAGGCGTTTCTTTAGGCCTGCATCTTTGTGGGGATATGTAGCACTCTCCCCCTTCCCGTTATGAAAGATTCTCAGTTGAGGAGCAAATTGCTATTTCTCTTGTTTTGCAGTCGAAAACTTTGATTTAGAGAGGCCAGTGGTTGCTGTTCTTCCCCAGTCCTCCCATTCCCAGTTTCAAAGGCTAGCCCTGAAATAGGGCAGAGAAGCCTAGAGCCTTCCATTTCTGTGACCCCAGCCTCCTGCAGCCCTCCCAAGCCCTGAATTCTCTCCGACTTTATATACAAACAAGGCAGCTTTGCCCTGTGCTCTGGCTTCTGCCCTGAATCATCCATGCTGTGCTGCGCTGACGTCTCTGTAGCTGTGAGCACACCTTTGGGAGACAGCCTGGGACCAGGGACAGGGCTAGGCTGGAGCCAGGGTTAGGGAGAGTCTCCTCCCTCGAGGCTCCTGCAGTCTAGTTCTTACCTCCCTTCCCATCAGCTGCCCATTCCATTCTCTTCCATGGGGGGAGGATTCCAAACTGGACCACTCTCCCACAGCCCTTTGCTTATGTGGAGGGTGGTTGGGGGTGTGTGGGAGGTGGAACAACACCCATGTCTCCCCATTTCTCTCACATCCCAGTAGAGGGAGATTCCAAGTCTAATTCACCCAATCTGTGCTGTGGATGCCGACCCAGCCTGCCTCCCCAGGTACCGTTGTCCATCAGTCGTTTCCCCCTTCACTGTATCTTCAGCCCACACTGTTTCCCTGAATACCTTCCTCCCTCCTTATAAATAGGCTCAAATCTCCCATCTTGGAAAAACCTTTCTAACCCTGTGTCTTCTCACTGCTGCCATTTTCAACCTGTGACTTTGTCCTACTACAAAAGATGGGTGTATGGCCATTATAGAAATTTTAGAAAAAAAAGATACAAAGAAAACAAATAACTTATCATCTCTCTATCAAGAGCCAACTACTATTAATCTTTCGGTATATGGCATTTCATTGTTGTCACTGATATTGTATGTGTGTATGTGTATTAAAATTTCAGCTAAGCTTTTTGAAAGACTAGTCTGCTAGACCTATCCCTTCTTCTCCCTCATATTTCTCTAATTTCTTGGCAGCTTGGCTTCTCTCTACCATTTCCCTGAAGCTGTGACCTCCTGATTGCCAAATGAGTCACTTGTCACACTTGACCACTCTATGGCCATGGACATTGTTGGCCCAGCTGACCATTCATTGAAAAGACTGAGATAGATCTGTATTCATTGACATGAAAAAACTTCATGAGATATTGTTGAGTGGAAAAAAACAGGTTATAAAACAGCATGTAAGCCGGGCGCGGTGGCTCACACCTGTAATCCTAGCTCTCTGGGAGGCTGAGGCAGGTGGATTGTTTGAGTTTAGGAGTTCGAGACCAGCCTGAGCAAGAGCGAGACCCCGTCTCTACTAAAAAAAAATAGAAAGAAATTATCTGGACAACTAAAAATATATAGAAAAAATTAGCCGGGCATGGTGGCGCATGCCTGTAGTCCCAGCTACTCGGGAGGCTGAGGCAGTAGGATCGCTTGAGCCCAGGAGTTTGAGGTTGCTGTGAGCTAGGCTGACGCATGACACTCTAGCCCAGGCAACAGAGTGAGACTCTGTCTCAAAAAAACAAACAAACAAAAAAAAACTGCATGTATAGAATGATCTCATTTTTGTCATGTATGCTTACATAGACATTAAAAATGAAAACCAAAAAAATCGCCCAAAAACTAAAGGTCAAACTGTTAAAGGGTGGCCTCTGAGATGGTGGATTTTGTTTTAGTGTTTATTATTTTTTTGAGACAGGGTCTTGATCTGTCGCCCTGGCTAGAGTGCAGCTCTGGCTCATAGCTCGCTGCAACCTCAAACTCCTGGGCTCAAGTGATTCTCTGAGTAGCTGGGACTACAGGCATGTGTCACTATACCCAGTTAATTTTTTCTATTTTTAGTAGAGATGGGGTCTCGCTCTTGCTCAGGCTGGTCTCGAACTCCTGACCTCAAGGAATCTTCTCGCCTTGGCCTCCCAGAGTGCTAGGATTACAGGTGTGAGCCACCGTGCCCTGCCCTGAGAAGGTGGATTTTGGAAGGACTTTTCTACTTTATGCACTTAGATTTTTTTTAACTTGCAGATGGTTTTATACATAGCTAAAAAGCAACATTATTTTATTTAAAAAAACCAAACAAACCCTTGAGGCTATGTTTTTTAAAAGGAAAAGAAGAATAGAATCCTTCAGTGGTTCCCATGACTGAAGATAATAAAGTCCAAATCCTGCCCGTGACCCTTCAAGGCCAGCATGACCTGGCCCATCCACCTTTCAGCCCCTATTTTTGCCTTTTCTTCCCTCCCTCCACTTTGAGCTTCAGCCTCACTCTGCCTCTTTCTGTTCTTTGAATATGCCATGGCATTGCTCTTCTGACCTTCACACCTGCTTTCCTGACTCCCCGGCCTGTTCATTCTTCAAGATTCAACTCTGATGTCACCTCCTCTATGAAGCCCTCCTGGGCTCCTCCAAGACAAACCAGG